GTTATCACAAAAACAATATTTTAATAGGTAGAAGCTATATAGTATTACAGGGCAGGTGGGCTGAATAGGGTTTTAATAACTTTGCTTTAATCTGGCAAGGCTATACTGATTCGGGTAATAGGTTTAAATTGAGGATTAAGATATAGCTCAAAGAGCTACAATACAGGATTTTCTGAGTTGAAGATATACGGAATTCTTACAGCAAACTAGCCCGATCGGGCCCTAGCTCGCTTGCGCTCCAGTGCGAGCGCTCTTTTCGGTCCTCTTCGATAGGACCAGCATATTACGTAAGCTCACACCGTGATACAGTTTACCTTTAACAATTATTTCCAATTGTAAAGCTTAATTTATATCCGAATTCTAGAAATATATTTATAAGCATTTAAAAGTATCCATTAAACTCTTCACTGCTTATCATCCTAAAACTAATGGATAAACTGAAAAAGCTAATACGATATTGAAGCAATATCTCAGATTATATATAGCTTACCTACAAAACGATTAGATAGAATGGCTTCCACTTACCAAGTTCTCTATCAACAATACCTAGTTCGAGAATACCCGAATAACCCTATTCTTCTTCAATTACAGTTTTTATTTCTATTTGGGCTTTAAGCTTGCTCTATTCAAAAGCAATTGTTTTGCTATAAAAGATATTAAGGAATTTGTTTCTAAGATAAAAATAATCTCCTTACACTTAAAGATAAAATTAATTATTAGCCAAACCCAATACTTAAAGAATACTGACTTCTATTATTTCTCTACCCACCAATATACCCCCAGTAACCTAATCTGGCTAAATATTAGAAATATCAAAACCCTGTATCTACAAAAGAAGCTTAATTAAAAGAACTTTAATTTATTCAAGATTCTAAATCTAATAGATCTTTATATCTATAAACTAGAACTCCCTATTTCTATAAGGATTCATTCTATTTTTTATATCAACCTGCTATACCCCACATATAATAATCCCATCCCTAAATAGTATAACCCGCTGCCATTATTTATAAAAATCGATAGCTTAAAGCATTTCGAAATTACCGAGATTCTGAATTCCTATTAGAAAAGAAGAGATTGTAAAGGATTTTGCCTGAAATATACTATCCACTAGATTGACTACAATGAGCTAATTGAAGAATCTGTCAGCTACTTGGAAGATACACAAAAACTGATTCGTAACTTCCATCATAAATACCCTGATAAACCTGGATCTGCCTAACCTGAATTGCCCACCTATGAAATTGTAAACCATAACTTGCCACCTCATCAGAACTCAGCCTGAAGGAGAGGAGTAATGTTACAGTGTAGATACACATAACCGATAAACAATAAGCTAGGCCCTGTTAAGCTAGTTTATAAATGAAAATTCTGTATATCTTTATATTGAAAGATTCTATATCATAGCTCTTCGAGCTATGTCTTAGTCTACACCCTGTACCTACTATTCTTAGCACTGTCGAATATAGATTCCTGATCCCGCCTGCCTGCCCCGTGACACTGTCTAAAGAGCTAGCTAATGAGGGGAAGTAGTAGGCCTTATATAGGCACTACTGAAAGAGCTAGTCTCCTTCGCATTCGCCTAAATACCTTTGATACAGTAGCCATTGTATTGAAGTCATTCTTTTGAAGTGAATTCCCTTGTTCACACAAGATAGTTATAACATTCGGGTCTTTGAGCGTTTGTTTATTAATTGAGAAAGAAAAAAAATATTTGAATCTTTAAAATTAATTTAGAAAAGCATTGATAGTTTTCTAATTTCTAATTTCTAATTTCTAATTTCTAATTTCTAATTCTAATTTCTAATTTCTAATTTCTAATTTCTAATTTCTAAATAACTTTAAATTTAGATTCAAAAGATTTCAAGATTTCAAAGATTTCAAAGATTTCAAAGATTTCAAAGATTTCAAAGATTTAAAAGATTTAAAAGATTTCAAAGATTTCAAAGATTTAAAAAATTTTGAGTAGATAAAGATAGTAAATGTAATAGACAATTGTAGAATTCGAGTATTTGAACATTTGTTTATTGATTGAGATGACTTTATGTATTGAGCATACCATGGAATGTGTGGTTTATGAAAGCACAAGTAATGAATATCAAATATCATCTAATAAACTCCTGTAATTTCCTTCCTTGCTTTGGTTTCTAAGGTTCGGAATACCAATTGAGGGGTACTGAGAAACAGCGTCCTTTCCGTTCTCCTGGCCCATCATGGCTCTGCATCTATATCTTCAATACCATGCCGTTCCAGCTTTTGAATCCGTTTTCCGGTAACATATACACTATTTCTCCAAGCCTCCTTACCACTGCACATCACATCATCCGAACACGCATGTCTAAAAGAAGTCGGCAAGTTATACTTATCTTTATAATGACTCAGAATATGAGCCAAACTCCGTTTGCACCCATCTAGGTCATTTCTCGGAAATCTTCGATCGCAATCCGCGACAACACATCGATCGTGCGTACAATCTAGTATCAGAAAGGTGTTTTGTTTTAGCTCCTCGCGTTTTTGATGGCGCTCGAACGGAGGAAGACGGGTGATGTCAATGTGGTGCGTTTTGAGATGATCTTCTATACTGTCTATTCGGAGAGATAGGTGGGTGCAGGAGGGTTCAGGACAGGCGATAAATTGACAGGGATTGTGTGTGTTGGAGTGTTTACGGAGAGCTTTTAGAGAGGCAAATCGTTTGTTGCAGTAGCATTTGTAGGGTTTGGAGGAAGTGGGGCGTTGTCTTTTGGATTGAGGGCTTGGTGCTTTGGTGGAGGGGTGATCTTTTGTTGGACGCTTTTTTGAGCGAGAGCTTGAAGGCGACGTGAGTGTAAAAGTTTGGCTGGAGGAGGGAGAGGGATCAGAAAATGATTGAGAGACCGTCGTTGATCGGGCTTCGAGGAGAACATGTGCATCATGACCTAGATTGCGATCATTATTCGAGAGATCGCTCTCCACAGTACTGTGGAGACGCCATCCTTCTTCATAGTAAGCTTCATCAACTACCTCTAGAATACAGGAGCTCTTCTCCTCCCTGTCTTCAATCCGAACATTTAGAAGAATATCTCGAATGAACTTGCGAATAGACAGACCAAATTCCAAAGTTTCTGATGGGCCAAACGCGTGTCTGCGATAGAAGAATTTAATAGAATCTTTCACAAGCGAGGGCTTGTATTCCATGGAGACATTCTCCCCCTCTATCAATTTTGTTCGTATCAAAGTAAATAGTTCATCTGCAATTTCGTGATTCGAGCGTATGCATAACTTCGCAGCATGATTGTTTTGGGAGATAGTCGAGAAGTTCGGATGATGAGCATTTCCCTGGCTAATCGAGAACGAGGGGTAATTCGGCAAAGGATTCTGTAAGGGATTGTTGTTATTAGTGTGGGGAATCTCTGAGTTGATGGAAGTAGATGAGACATTCAGAAGTCAATGGAAACGGTCGAGTAAATAGCAGAGCTATAACTTAGGTCTAGAACCTTGAAGAATGGCCTAATGGCTTATCTAGTTCGGTAACCCTTTTTGTGGTTCAATATTTCACCCTACTGAGATTCCCCTAGATGTACCCTCGAATCATTTAGACGAAACATAACCTAAACATGAACTCACAGAATTTGCATATTGGAAATCGCTTGTGGTGTTATGCTGAAAGCTATCCGATTGAAAATTGTCTGAAGAGATAGTCGATAAGGTGGCGTGCTGAAGCGATGGAAGTTCTGTGTAGATGAAGGAGCTAACATGCTCAGGTGTTGAAGGGAGTTCCAATTCTAAATACTCAGAGCCCAAAAACAACGTTGAGTTCACATTGTTGTGAAAGGGATGAGGAGACGACGATGTGGCATTTGCAAGATGGTTATCTTCCGATGTATTTAAATTTTGAAAGGTAGTTGAGGCAGTTGTTGATTGTTCAACGCGAGGACAACCGTTCACGTGGTTATCGTGGTTGTAAGTAGAGCAATGCGAGAAATGGTGTGGTTGATTGGGTGTGATGTCAATTGGGGTGCCTGAGAATTTAGGTTAGCTTTGCCATTGCGCAGCCCTCGGGGCCCCCCGATCGGGGTCTTTTTTTTTTCAAATGATGAGTTGATTTCACTTACCCACCGAGCCGGAGCCCACAACATTTTCCAGCGTGTTTCGTCTAATTTCTGAGGTGGAAGGTGCCGAGGCCATCCAATCGTCCAATTCAACGTCTCTTTCGAAAGCTGGCAACGACATCTTGAATCTGTGAAAGTTTGAAGATGGAATGATTGACAAGACCGTAGTTATTGATGATCTAAACGATAATTCAAAGACTTTGACGAGTTTATTGAGAAGTAAGTGAGGTTCGTCCGCTGGAAAACTCGACATACAAATCTCTACGCATTGGCAGGTCACGTGACGTCTCACATCCCGATCTCTCGGCCTCTCTCCTTCTCCTTCTCTTCTCTCCCCTCCGCTTTTTCACATTCTGCTCTCCATGTTTTTATGAGGCGCTGCTCTTTTATCAATCCTACGTACGCTCCTAAGGTAAATAAAATGCTCGGATGGCTTCCTTTCTATTCAAATAAGTTACCAACCACATATTAAATTCAAGATCCCGATGTAAATTAGATAGAGCCCTCGTCTAATACTATGATTTATGTCATTCCTCAATCAAACCATCGAACACCTCAACTTCTTACGTCTAATCTAGGAGCTTGGAGAAATCAGGAACTGGAGCTCTGCTTGTTGACTAAAGCTTTAAATTTTGTCACATGGTTGGAAGCAGTGTTTAGCACGATGAATCGTTTGGCAATAGACTTGAGCTGGGATAGGCATAATTATGAATTGCGGTTGAGTTCTTTTCTTAATCCATATTTCGAGGTACAAAGACGCTGCTACGAAATTCCCTTTTTTCAAATAACTGCTCGTGCTGTATCAACCCCCCTCTTCCCCCCCTTCCCCCTCTGAAGTATTATTAAATATTACAAATTTGACCATAGATTGGCCCTACCAATTTGAAGGTACCCCCAAGCGGCATCCATCTACTAAACAATCAATTGGATTTCCTCGCATCCAACAGGGTAAGTACGGGCATCGGCATGGAAAACAGCGATAGAATAGACATCAGCCTCGGAGGTTGAGCAAGCCCAGAAGGTGAAGCCAGGGAATGTCAACGATCCAAGGGCGGCATTTGGACTACTGTAAGGGGCTTGGAACACCCAACCTGCATCAAATGCGCGGCTGGCGTCTGGAGCAGCATATGCGACTGAATTGTTGAGGAGATACAACTCTTGTCCTCCTTGGATGTTTACATGTCCGTCATCGAAAGAGAATTGAACGGCTGTTTACCTGTTAGCTTGTTTCAAACCCGCTATATAGAAACATGTTTATGCTTACCTGGTGTAGGTTTTCCAACCCAAAGAAACCCGCTGTCTGCACTGATCTCCAAGCCTCGAAAGATCGACCCTGCTCCAGTTGGGAAAGTACGGAGCGTGTAGGTAGTGCTGGCTGTGCTAGCGGCGATAGGGCTAGCAGCAACAGTGCTGGCGAGGAGGGTTGCGATGAGAGTCTTGGAGAACATTTTGATGTATGGAAGTTGTTGGATTGATAGAATAGTTGAATGTGTGTAGTGAAATGATGAGTGAGTTGGAAGCTGTTGATGATGATTTGAGTGATGATTTGAATGCTGTTTGAATTCCAGGACCTCTTTATATATACGATGAACCCCTATAATATCCATTTATTTTCGTGGGGACGCAACTGATGCTGATCCATTAACATCTCCACAACCTTGGTCTTGGTTCACTATAATTCGGATATCCAATATTGTCACCCAGTTAATATAATATTAATAAGACATGACGACCCTGCATTGAGTGCTATGCGAGAGGTGTAGTAATCCGATTTTTACAATACTTAGTATCGAACCATTAATCATAAAAATAAAAATATACCAAAATGACGAGTTTTGATGTAAAAAGTGGATTGGCTAAACAGTAGTTGCTTAGCACTGCAGTACTATCATCTTAATCGATGTTGTAATTCGATCCCAACGTAGACCGATTAGTTGAACCTCTATACGACGTATACTTCTCCTGCTGCCTCTCGTATTTCTCTCCGGCCTCGTATTTGTAGACTTGCCAGTGACCTTCCGAGAACCTCAAAGTGGCTCACGGTGGATAGTTTCTGCATGTCAAAATGTGGAGTATATGAATACCTCCTTAATTGATAACGTTAAATTTAAGCTTCAAATTTTGGCAGTCATATTCCAGAAAACAACAACGTCAACGGCGGACAAACTCTAAATTTTTACGGCTCCTAACTCAGCCACGATTATCCACAACATGCGCGCTTGGCACCTCGGAATGAAAACAAATAGGCGGGGCGTTCTATAATAGGGGCAGATCTCCACAGCTCGCGATCGGGTCGTCGGCTCCCGCAGCCCCGCAAAACGAACATTGGGCAATTTCTGGATTCTACCCGCTTACCGAGTACTCAGAGGATTCTCATTCCGCTCACTGCCTTATAGTTTCCGCTTCATCTGCCAAGTACGTCATAAAAGCCTTTTCAACGAGACACCACATCTTCGTACCTGGGGACACTTCGGCTGTCTGGTCTACACGTCAACCCCCCTTTGACAATGCCACTTACATCAAGTGCAGGTGTATCCGCAGTGTGACATACTTTTGCTTCTACAAATTGGCCAGTCCCGATTTGTCTACCCAAAGCTGACGATTCTCATGGCTCTTTCTCATCTGCAGAGCCAGGCGTGAAAAGGGAGGCTGTTGATGTTCTTTTTCGCTGAGTCTAGCGGCTTTGTGCTGTATTCAGGGACCGCACTTTGCGGAAAATGTTATTTCTCGGCGCTCGAGGCATTTGCCAAGAGACCTCGTATGAATTTGTATACAAGGGTTCACGATCGCTATTTTACGTAATTGCTTTTAGAGTAATGCTCCGCATCGCGATCATTGCATTTTCGAATTCTTCCCGACGTTGTATTGAGTGTTCACCGACAAAACTGACGACGTAGAATGGACGTTCCAACCAATGAGAGCAGCAGAAACACAACCAAACGCATGTCCTCGTGGAATCTTCAGGAGAATTCGTCAGGTTAGACCAAAACCTCGTATGTCACCAGATTCATGATTACTTAGACAATCAGCAATTCTTCTTTTCATCATTATTGAACTGATCCTTTCAAATTGGTCGTTGAATTGCAGGTTGAAGCCCAGCTCTGAAAAAATACGTAGGGTGATCAGGGACATCTACTGATCTTTTATTGCTGGCTTTGTGGTGTGAACAAGTGGGGACTGAGGCTGTTATGGTAGATTGGGCGATAGCTTTCTATGAAGAATCAACTGATTAATTTCCACATTGAGCGGTTTACACGTTGGATAAAGGAAGAAAAATTGGATGCTACCATAATATGTTGTCACATTGAGAGAGTAGGCTCTTGGGGAAATCACATTCAAACTCTATCGAGGCCTACAGCTGTCGAAAATAGTATTGCACTACTGGTACCGCAGAACAGCTCACAAATCGAAAGAATTTCCTCTTGATCGTTCGTCATATGAAAGTGTCGCAAGGATAAGTGGTGCAATGAAAAGTACCTAAATCCACTGCTCACGGCAAATCGATATGTGATGAGGTGACTTGACGTTTTATTGACTATGATAGCGGCTTTCTACAGATTCATCCATCTTGGCTCAAAGCCACCACCATCATAATCATTGTAGACTGATCTTTCTATATTCTGTTGCTAGCCCCTGAACTACATGAGCAGCTGGAATGCCTGGTTTCCTGATTTTCGAGGTCGTGGTTTGAGTTGCCTTGAGACTTATGTTGCTTCATGATGTCTCTCCGAACCAGATAGTATACAATCAGAAGACCCTAGAACAGAGCGGATGTGTTCTTTCTTCATCAAAATACGAGCTCATTAGTAACCTGGATAGGCGCTAGCCAAGCTCTTACTTTTAAGTTGTATCGTCACGCTCTGTTGCGCACGACAAGGGAAGTATTGGACCCAGAAATGTTTGGAATTGTGAAGAACACTGTGTTTGAATTCTCTCTTCCATAAAATGTTGCTTCAGAACTCAATAAGACGCTCTCAAAGAGCTGAGCTGGCAACTTTGAGCCATCTCGCGCACGGGAGCTCAAGTACGGGAAGGGAATATGCTGGCCTTCCTGATAGCCTCTTGTCCGACGGACCGAAATGAGAGTTTGTCTAATGGATCCAGAGGAAAATCAGCTTTGTATAGGGCCGGATTCGTACAGCAATTTCTTTTAAACCTAGATCGACCTCAAAACCTTAGGTCGTCAGCTCGTGTCGGTTTCATCGATCCAAGGGATAAATAGCCGGCTTTCCTCCTACTAGTAAGAAGAAAGAGACAATATCTTTCTTCCATCGTCAACGAACTGTCTCAATAAAACCATCATTGCAGAAAAAACGATTTTTATAATGACTATTACATTGATTCAAACTTCAAAAACCTGTTATATATTTATAACAATTATACAGTAAAAAAAGGAAGTACAAAAAAAAGTGTACGAAGACATGTGAACGAATTCTCTATATGAATTAAATAGTCCAAATGCTGATATATCGCATTAAAGAAATCATTTCTTATACATCTCAAACTCTGAGTTCTAAGTCGTGTTGATTGATCCGTGAGTCGAAATGACGCCCAATTTAGGTTACCGATATCTCATCAGTCGTTACTCACATCTAGAATATATATTGCTCTTCGATCTCTACGAATGAATCAGTCTATCAGACATAAGCTGAAACATTTGAGGCTTCTTGTTGTGGTATGGACTTATGTATTCGGATGGGTCCCGATTTCTTGGATAACTATCACCACTAAAGCTCTCGTTACTCCCGCGATAGTCTTGAGTGCTAGGCCCTTGGGCATAACGATTTGTATTGGGTCTCTCTTGTGGCTCTGTGTTATTTCCGTTGTCTGGACAACTAAGGTGGTCCTCATCAATCTCTGATTGTACTTTGCAATCAGAGTCGTCGTAATCGCTATCTGGAACCTGCTTTCGATTCTCTGGTTGGATGCAGGTGCTAGTCTTCCAATGATCTTTCGTTCCACACTTATCCTTGTCCGAGCATAAGTGCTGGAAGACCAAGGGGGTAGAAGTTCTCAAATGTTTTAAGATGTGGACGTGGCTCTCCCAACATTTCTTCCAAGAACCTCGAGGAAGCTTTGTGTCACAGAGAGAGCAGTGGTCATGGGTCCTATCTGTGATTATGAAATTATTCTCCTTGATCCGTTCTGATATACTGTTCTTTTCAGCCTCCGAAAGACCTTTAAGATAGCCTTCGTGAGATTTGGTCTTCAGGTGACTGTTCATAGTCTCCTTTCTCGGGAATATTTTCGAGCAACCAAGCACAATGCAAGCAAAAAATTCATAAGGATTATGGCTTTTGTTGTGGGGTCCAATCCCTTTGAGTCCCACGCTTGCATTACAATTGGCGTAGTAACAATTGTATTCGTCCGAGGAGACTTTGAGCCGCTTACTGAAAGAGGAAGCGACACTGGTGGAACCTTCACAGTCGCTAGGACGCTTAGATGAAAGTGAAAAGACTGAGGGGTTTCTGTTTGTTCGTGGTGTCGATTCAGAGAATGCGTGTCTTCTAGAGGAAATATTCTGCGGTATAAGCTGATCGTATCCTGCTTCGGAGTAAATCTTATAGACTGATTCCGCAATTTTCATAGGCTTCATATTCTCCCAAGGTATGTCTCCGTCTCGAACAATCTCCAGTATAGATTCTCCAACCAAGCTTTCCGTTTTCGTAGTCTCCCCCCTGAAGCCAGCATCGCGATAGATATCCTGTATCGCTTTTCTGATTTCTGAGGCGACAAACGATCGGTTCAGGGGCTTATCCTCAAACTCTGATGTTGTCTCGCATACTCTGTCGAATAGCTTACTTTGAAATCGTTACTGGTAAATTCGACACCAGCAGAAATTGAGGAATTGCGACTCGCGGGACAATCAGCTAGGCGTCGACTGGAATATTGAACCATTGATTCTAGAACATTTGTTGTTTGATGAGGGAGAGCAAGGTTCCCAGCCCCTCCCGTTGAACAGATTCCCTTGTTCCTAGTCGATCGTCGAGGGGGAAGTATCTGCCTATGGATTTCTACGGACCCTTCCAAGTTGTTCTCCTATCGTAAGAAACATCATTACTTTGGAAATCTTCTATTGTGCAGATAGAAAAAAGCGCGAGATCTATTTAAGAGAGAATTTTTTTAGAAAAGGTTCTTGCAAATTACAAGAGCCTTATATTCGAAGAATAGACATTGTCGTGATTTACCCTAACATACATTGGTTCGTGGCGCGCAATATGATAAATCAAAACATATACTCACGTGCGTTTCAAGGCCATGATAATAAAGATCTGATCCAGAGATTGTTCCAGCTTTCGATAATGTTTGTATATGTTGTGAATTTATCGGCGTTTGGGCCGGTTCTGACATTTCAGATTGAGTATATTCCGCTTGGCTAGGAAAATGAAAAGAGCGGTCTCTTACTTCAGCAATCGATAGATCCTGGTGATCATTAGTTGGCTGAGAATTATCCAATCTTTGAGATGTGGTCTGACATTGCAAGGGATTTTGGTTATTGGATGACCCCGCTGTGGGTTTGGATGCAAGTTCGCCCATCCCATCTTGATATGCAAACAAATCGTAATCGAACTCGAGATCGTAACTTGGGAATTCGTCATTGGGGAAGAGTATCAAATCATCGAGGTCATTGTCGAGAAAATTACTGTATGATGAGTGATTTGAATTATTCAGATCATTGTCAAAGAAATGCGATACCTGATCACCACATATCGGTGGTTGCGCGAGGTTCGAACCAGGATCTCGGCAACCCTGCTGTGGCAGTGCGCTCTCAAAAACGGCTACGGATTCTTCAACAGTTTTAAAAGACATGTTTTAGAGACGAATGGTGTTGTTTTTGTATAAGAATACACTGCAAATAGTAGAATTTTATCGTCCTGTTCATCTTGGATGACGTCGCTATGGCTCTGTCAAATTTTGCAGGTGCTAATAGTACACCTGACCAAGAATATACCGCGATATATAGCAGAGGTGAGAAATACAGTAAAGAAACACAGAACAAACTTGACGTGAATTGCACTAGAGGTGTGTGTTGGCCATCCTCATCTCGCATAAGGAGATCGTTGGAGATGGAGATTGAGATGGAGATGGAGACGGTACCAGAAGCTAAGCGAGTTATGGGGACGGTGATGATGCAAGTATACATGAAAGATTCATTTGATAAACTTAAGATGGTGGATACAAGCTTTGGGGAGATCCCTATACCATTTCCTTCATCATGAGTCTCATTAAATCAAAAAAATATGGAGATGGGAATCACGCGCGGTTGCGCGGTGCTCCCCTTCTCTCTTTCAGTCACCATCGCCTTCGCCTTCGCCATAACCATCACCATCGTCATCACCGCCGTCAATACTGTTTTTATATCCTTGCCTCTTCAGTACCACCTCAAAGATGTTGTATTTGATGATTAAACAAAGATGCTGCTATCAACTAATTCTCAAGTGATCTTAGAAATCTAAGAGCCCTCAACAAGAACGTGTGTGGTATGAAAGCAGCATCCATACGCATTTCCAGTTTGATCCGTCTATCGACCTCGTCCGACTGAGTGCTGGACACCGATCATTGAGAGGTCACGAACTCGGTATATCTCTTCAGGATCAAAATCCAACCCATTGAGATTCCAACTCTCAGGATCTAGCTTGGCAAGTCGTAGGCCAAAGCAATTAGAAAGCCAGAACGATAGAGTGATGTGTGTGATACATAGAACTCTTTGGGCGTGCAGTCATGTGAAACAACAGATTACGTGCAAGCTTGGTCTGGCCGGAAGCTGTAGTCAACAACCTGTACATGAAGATAGGCGAATCCGGATTTGTCCAGAATGTGAAGTGAAAAAAGCGCAAAAGCAAGTATGAAAAGATCCGAGGACCTAAAACTGGCTGACTGAATTAGGCATGCTTCGAGGCGGTCATAGAACCGACAAATGACAACGAAGATTGAGTATAAGTCTGCTTGATGAGATCAACAACGAAGATGAGCAGACAAATTCTCTGAGTTTGGTGGGTCTAGCGTAGATGGTGTGTTGTGAAGTTAGACCACGGATGTAGATATTATAGTTGAACATTGTTCAGCTAAACTGGAATTCGATTTATGGCCCGAATTCATCAAAGTTGAGACGTGCTTTCCAAGTGAAGAGCAGGGTGTGATCGAGTCGTCCATTCGACGTCCTGCTCGGTTGAGAAGCGAGAGTGATAAGATAGATTGATGTGTATTTGGCCACAACCTCTATCTCTCGTGTAACTCTATTTTGACTTTACCGGTCATTGTATTCAAAGCAAGAGTAAAAGGTTTCCCATTTCACCCTCTTGAATTTTTTCGCCGATATCTATATGTAGGTACTCATCCTATGAGGTTGAAGTGACGAGGCTAGCATTTAGGCTTTCAAATCCCACGAACCCCACATTCTTCATATGTCTTGGTGCCCGAGTCTGACCACCTATTGTTCCTGTATGCCTTGGAAAGCGCTTTTATACATATAAGAACGATTCATCCCAGAATCTAATATGGACTTTCCTCTTTTAAAAAGGAATGACATTTATTTCGGTATTAGAATCATTTGGGGGCGGCTCTCATCTCAAGTAGCCGGGTGCCTATGCAAAGCCTCGTCCGGTCAGTATCATGGCCCCCAGCCTTCCCTGCCGTGTTTGCCTTAACATAAATCCCATGTGCCAAACCGCTCGATGGCGAGTCGATGTGGTAGGTAATGATAAAATTGAATACAGTCTTCCATTCAACTTCCAGGAACTGATGCCATCAAGCCGTGCTTGTTCATTTTGCTTTTTGATAAGAGGAGGTGCGCAAGCTATACGGCGCGACGCTGCGTCGCTTCATCGCAACGGCCATTACAACTCCACTGTCAAGCGCGGCCGGATTATTGTGCAAAGGTCTGCTCCTCTTGATATTGAAATGTTTCGCGATAAAGATGGTGCTGGAGATGAAGTTTTGTCAAGGTTTCAATTATTTATGGCAGATAATGAGATCGGAGGAATTTGTTTGAGGCCCACAATTAGCGACTCTGGCGATTTTGGCGTGCTTGGGACCGCCAGAAACGTTCCTACATTGATTTCAACCAAGACACATATTACACTAATCAATTCTTGGATCAGCAACTGCCGTAAGAATCATTCATCTTGCGATATAGCTACAACAAGCCAATTGCCCTCGAGACTTCTGGATATATCTGGTAGTGAGGATGTCATTTATTTGGTAGAGACTAGGGATCTCCCAAGCAGCGCCAATCGCCCCTCCTACGCAACGTTATCACATTGCTGGGGCTCTAATCGTATCATTCAAACCACATCATCTACTATAAAATCTTTCTATAGTGGAATTAGAAAAGCAGATCTCCCAGCTACCTTTCGGGATGCGATATCCGTAGTACGAGCTTTAGGATTGAGATACATATGGATTGACTCTCTTTGCATTGTCCAGGACTCTCTGGATGATTGGAAGCATGAATCGGTTCTTATGGCTTCAATATACTCCAATTGTTATGTAAACATCGCGGCTACTGGTGCTGCTGATAGTTCTAAAGGGTGTCTGGCACCTAGGAACCCACTTCACCGATCCATTCCCTTACTCGCAAAAGGCCTCCTAAAGCCTGAGACGGAGGATAAGAGCATATTTGTCCGCCATTCGCTCAATGGACTCCATCAATTCTATTCCACTCCGACTATATTGAGAAATGAGACCACTGGCTCATGGGGTAAAGAGGCGCAGGAGGCACCATTGTTGTCAAGAGCCTGGATTTTCCAAGAACGATATTTAGCACCAAGAACCTTGCATTTTTGCTCGTCAGAGCTAGTCATGGAATGCCGCAAAGAACTAAGGTGTGAATGTACTGGACTCAATTCTATCGCATCCAACCCTCTTCGCGACGTGCAAGATATTTCCTACGATAGTTGGCTTCGTGCCGTGGAGGAATTCTCTAGGCTGAGATTGAGTCACGAAACTGATCGATTGAGTGCATTGCTAGGTATTGCCAAAGTCTTCCACACTAGATTTATGTCTACATATCTTCGAGGACTTTGGGCTGAAGATCTTGCGAGAGGCTTACTGTGGGATGTTACGAGGTATGAAAACGTACATACCAGTGCAAGTACTCTTGGTTTGCCACCGAAGAGGCAGAATAGAGAAGTTGCCCCGACGTGGTCATGGGCTAGTATGGTGATGACAGAGGGGATTGGAATAATCTTTCCAGCAGCCCACGATGCATCATTCTCCAAAAATTCACAATTTTATCCTTCAAAACACACTTCACTACCTACAATGTCTCTAGGCACTTCATCATTCGATACCTTCCTAGAAACAAAGACAATTTTCGTTAATACCGAATATTTCTTCGCAACAGTTTTTCTGCAAGAAACGGAGGAGAACACGATGCTTGTGTTTGACGCAGATATTGAGGACATGATTTTGATATCTATATATGAGATGAATTTGGATATCCCACCAGGAGGTCTTCCTCAGGAGCAGAGCTGGGAAGTTTGCTGCTTAATTCTAGGTTCAATGACAGAGAAAAATTATGAGTTAAATGAAGAAGCAGAGTTCCTGTGCACGCTTGCGGTTAGATTCAACTCACTTATTGGTGCATGGGAACGGATTGGAGTACTTGATGTTAGGAAAGATGATCAGGATTATTCGAGTATAGGGGAAAGGGAGGTTAACCTCATGTGAATACAAGCATAGACATAGGTCAAAGTGTTCATGGAACAGTAGGATAAATTTCATAATACAAGTCATTAAGCTATGTATTCGTACTTAGGTACACAAAACAAAGGTAAAGGAAAACCACAAAAATAGGAATCCAACAACCAACGCCCAAAATGCTGCAATAACAAAGGAAAAGGATCCACATAAAATTCTGCCATGCCATTCAACCACCATCGCCATTGTCCCGAGTATCTTTCGATAGTTGGGACCTTGAATAGATATTGTAAGAGTGCCAGTCATTTTTCCTGATTATGCTGCCTTTGACTCTCTCAACTTTTTTTCTGCCGCAGCTCGACGAAGTCTCTCTGCGGCTGCATCAGCGATCAGCTTATCATCACCCGTCAACCCCAACTGTGCCGCCCGCGCCGCACGCTCTACGCTGTTATGGGGACGATCCCCTGCCTTTCTCGGAATCCACGAACGCAACAAGCCCTCGCGTCTAAGACGTGCATCCGACATCTCCGTGAAGCGTTTATGACGAGTGTAGAACTCTCCTCGCTCGTTGAAAAATTTTGAAGCGCGTAAATGTCTTTGGAAAGGACTCAATCTTGCTAATTGGAGGATATCTCGATCGGTCAGATTTTCGCCAGTCGAATAAGGTAAGGCCATCATTTGTTCAGTTTCAGGGTGATATTTGGCACCGATAGTTGTACGTCTACGGTGCAAGACTTCGTGATAGACACCTTTGTTGTTGATTTGATTTCTGATTCCGCCCCATTGCTTTACCGTCTCTACGTCTGGACCACCAATTTCTTCGTAATTGTTATGGCGAGGTAGATTACTATGGTGGCGAAGACCTGATTGAGGGGTCCTGGAAGGGTATGAAAGAGTTTGAGGGGTGGCAGATGGTAAGAAGGCAAGATCTCCTTGGCGCTGGAGCTCGAAGGCATGCTCCGGGTTCTGTAATCGGAATTGACCGATCAGAACTGCGCCAAGTTGATCATATCGGCCATGAATACTTTGTCTCTCATCAACGATAGCTCTATGCTCAGCTAACATGTGTCTCATGACAGTATCTACTTGATCCTGCTTTGAAGAGTTTTCGAGACCAGGTTGATTCAGTCCAGGCCTAGCAGCATAGAAATTTTCGATGTCTAGTTTGT